TTAACATTTACATGTTACATTGCTTACATATATTTAAAGAGTCTGGCACAACTGCGATTCAATAATAATACTGGCAAAAAACATCACTGGTTTATATGTTTCTTGATAATATATTAGGCAATGGTTTCGAGCAATTCAACACAGCCAGTACGCAGAATATAATATTATATCGATAACGTGGTACCAGGCATACACAAACGCAGGCGACAGATATCCTGCGTATACCAGCCAGCACACAATCTGGCTACGTTAGTGTGTTAGCGCATGCGCAATATCTCACCAGAGGAGTTATATTTTGTGATGAATATGCATTTAAAATGGTTAGGGGGTTTCTCAGTATAGATTTCCCTAATAAACATTTATCGGTAGACCTGTGTTTATAATTAGGAGAGCGCCCTAGCATGTAGGGTACAAAACACCTACTTTATGCCCTCACGTCCTTTCCCTTGCCTCCCCTGTCCCTCGCTCGCCTCCTTCTTCTTCTATCGCCCCCAGCTATCTTCCCTACCGCATTTCTTCAGTCTCCCATCCCCTCTCCCCCTCAGCAAGCTATATTATAAAGTTTGCCTCAGACGGCACTGCACGCCGAACACGGGGCGCGCGCATGTGCAATATCTCACGAGAGAAATCGTATTTTGCAAAGATTATGCATTAAAAATGAAGAAGAAGTATCCTAACATAGATTTATATGATAACATTCTATCTGTAGATATCATTTAAGAAATAGGAGGAAGACCTTGCATGTAAGGTCCAAGCTGCGTATACCACGCAGTACACAATCTGGCTACGTTAGTGTGTTAGCGCATGCGCAATATATCACCAGAGGAGTTATATTTTGTGATGAATATGCATTTAAAACGGCTAGGGGGAATCTCAGCATAGATTTCCCTAATAAACTTTTATTGGTAGACCTGTGTTTATAATTAGGAGAGCGCCCTAGCATGTAGGGTACAAAACACCTACTTTATGCCTTCGCGTCCTTCCCCTTGCCTTCCCTGTCCCTCGCTGCGCAGCCTCCTTAGTCTTCTACCGCCCCAGCAATCTTCCCTGCCGCCTTTCTTCAGTCTCCCATCCCCTCTCCTCCTCAGCAAGATATATTATGAAGTTTGCCTCAGACGGCACAGCACGCCTAACACGGTGCGCACGCATGCGCAATAT